TGTTGTTGTCCGCTGTAGAAAAGTGGCTCCACGCGCTCCTGGCTGGCCGGCCGGCTGAGCCCCCCCCGGTCTGCAGTCGGCACGCACCCCGAGGTCTCCAGCTGCTGCGCATTCCGGAGCTCGAGGGAGAGCGCGAGGGAGCAGCGCGGGCGGCGCAAGCGGACCGGCACCCGGCGCGCAGGGCTGCCCCCGGGGGCGTAGTGCGATGCCTCAGCGGCGCCGGACATCCCGCATCCCGGACTCCTGCCTGACACGGACAACTTTTCTGCGTGCGTGCGCACTTGCGCATCTGGATTTCTGACTGTTCTGGTCTTTTCCTTCTCCTGCTCGCTCCAAAATCCAAGAGCAACCACAACAGCAAGAATGCCTGACACTGACAGCTCCGTTTCCAAAACGGTAAGTCGCTATATGTTACCCGAGCAGGTCCTCAGAAGAGAATTGCTCTATCGAATTACGAACTGACCCCGTGGAAACGAACGGCTTTAAAAAAAAAAAAAGATTGATACCATAATTTTTAAGTTTGCAGTGGTGCATTTTTGTTGTCTTGTTTTTTGTTGATAGGTTAAAAGTTGAAGAAACGGTTGAAAGGTGTCCTTTATTGGGGTTTTTTTTGCGTGTTATCTAAAACTGGTTATTATGTTGGTGGTATGTCGTTAGGTATTGCATGCCGCTGTAGCCCAGACCAGGTCAGTTAGACGAGCCTCAGCGCGATGAAAGTCTGCTTTGTTGTGTCTGGAGCGCCTGTCACATGCGCCAGAGCGTGCATAATTAGAATTCCTCCGGAGCGCGGCTCAGGGGCGGACAGGGTGTCGGGGCGCTACAGAGCGCTGCAGGTGGGGCACAGGGACTTGGGCTCTACACCCGGCTCTGCTCCCTGTCAGATGTCAGGTGTCCGCGAAGCGCCGATCCACAATCGCCCATCTGTGCGATTCCACCCTCTCCCGAGCCGCAACCCACATTCACTTCACCCATAGCCTCAAGCGGGCATTTTCACATGGTAAGTTTCTGGTCTTCTTGTAAGTAATTATCCTGTCAGTCCACACTCGCGAAATAATTGAGCAGAAGCAAAACGTAATGGATAGCTTACTGCACATTCCTTGGAAGATATGCGAGCAAGCGATATCTCTGTTTCGACGATATCTCTGTCGACTGCGACAGTGCTGAATCTTTAAAAGGACCTATATTCAATTGTGAGGCTTTTTGAGGTGTTGTAAAGGACCTCACTGAAGGTGAAGTTCCTTTGATGGTTCAGGACCTGAGCTGAAACCTTGAATTCCTTCTGCCCTCCGTTGCTTATCGTCACTGTGTCCAGCTCTGCTTTTACAAACGTCTCTGCCACCTGCTGTCATGCGTACAGCAGTGCGGTCATTGTTTTTTCAGATCGTTATTTCCAACCTATTAGTCTTTTGGCTTTACTAGTGTGGTGGGCCGTAGGCAGATTTTGGGATTGCAGTGCTAAATGTCCTAAACCGGCACTGCTCTTGAATAGAGGACAGTTGTGCTCTAGCTGTTCATTAATATTAATAGATCTCACATCGAGCCTGAAGGCTGCTTGTGTGTGATTCAAGACATGCAGCTGGACCCCAGCGGCTTCTGAGTGCAGAAAGACAACACAGGTGAGCTCCTACTGCCTGTATAGGGATTACTGAGTTCCCACAGACAGACTGGACCTCCACCAGATCTTTGGGCGTATGGTTTAAATTTGCTGGAGCTGATGAATACCTCTTCATTCTGTTTTGGCTCTCCATTACTCCACTTGTGATAATAACTTAGACAGAGCGTTACAGCCTGCTTCCAGTTAAGGTGCTTTCAAGCAGAGCCAAAAAAGTAAATGTTATGGGATCTAACATGCAAGGGAAGTCTTCCTCTGACTTACATGCGGTAGGAAAAGGAAACACTTTGAGGTCAAAGATTATCCAGTGTTAATTTAATTTTTTGAACATTTTCCTTTGAAAAATGAAAATGCAACTACTCTACCACTCTTTTCATTTAAAGAGATGTTCTGCCCTGTGTAAAAATTCCCTGTGAAGCAAAACAAAATCAATACACAGATATGGAACAATTTCAGCTGTTACAATTCACAGTAGTTTTACTTTTTGTAATTCCGCATTTAATCAAGTTGTAAGAACATTTACAGGAAAGGTCCTCAAGTGTCTTTTCAGCAGAAACACTCCTGCTCCCTGTTCACTCAATGTGAAAAAAAGTACGTAGAATAAACCTTGGAGGCACTGTCTCTTTCTGCAAGCGTCAGTGCTGTGATGTTTCTCTCTCCAGTTATGTCTATAGGAAAAATATCTTCATTTAGTCTTTGCCCTCCTATGCCGGGAGCGCAGGTTGTGAGCTTACTGTTCTAGCAGTGGAGGAGACTGGGCACTCAATAACGCACAGGAAAAAAAGCTGACAACTTCGGCCTCCTCCCAGTTTCCCCTGCACACAGTGGTACAGATCAGCCATTTCCCAGACCAGCTCCACTCGGACAAAGCTTCATTGTCTCCAGCTGTGAACGTCAACAGGATTCTTACTTTGAATGCACTGCAATGTACGGACTGCATGTGTACCGGGAGGCCTTGCCTTTTAATTCTTTGTAAAGATAAACATTCCCCTCAGTGAAAGAATAAGACATTCCTGATCTCTATGTCAAAATAACTGGGTCTTTCTGATTGTAACATAAAATAAACTAAAAGCACGTTTCTCCAAAATGTCACTGAGGAAAATATTGAGATATTGAAGTTCAAGTCGGTGATGCCCTTTCCCTCATAAATTCACGGTATGCCAGCATATGCATTATAAAGCTGGTAGTGCACAATGAGATCATTGTACAGTAGCAGAGCGTAGCAGAGACACAGAGTAGCTTAGATGTATTAAGTGCCGTGAAAACTTTGAAAGACTGGTGTCACATTCATTATAAAAAGAAGAGAAACAAGTGCTTGTCGTCAGATCAAGTTTGTTTTTTAGCAGCCTGAGGATGAGAGACGTTTTGTCTGAATAACTGTAGCAGCTGGTGAGGAGATGTTAACGCATAGTAGGTGGCCAAGGTTAGAAGAGAACGAGGAGGGTGTTCTGGAGGATGACCTTTTAAATGACCATGAGAAACCTCTGTGGAGCTCCAGCGGCCTCTTGCAGCCAGCCCACAGTTCTGTTCTGGGGTAGGCAGCTTGTCATAAAGTATGAATCGTGTCCAACTGTCCCTTCATCACGCCCTGTCTGTGCTTCAGCTGAAGTCCCTCCCTGACATCCTTCAGCAGCGTATGGTATCTGTGGAGGTTGAAATGTGAGAAATTCACTATTCTGCGCACAGCTGGAGCAGCAAATACAAGTCTGCCTGCTTCGGTTCTAAACACAGGACAAAGGTTACCGATCTTGCATTGATTCTCTTTGATCTTGTGAAGTGTGTGACCCGTGTTTCCAGTGAAGGCATCAGCTGTTGATCAAATGGCATCCCTCTCTTGTGCAAAGCGAGGGATCTTATAAGTCATCCTGTGAGTTTCTATGAGATACTTTCAGTTATCCAATAGCCATGCCCTGTGCCTGGTGGCTTTGTAGTATCAGCTAATATAAAGGATTGCTATCCACCACCTTCACAGTTCATTGCAATCTTTTGCTTTGGATATACCTTTATAAATACATTTTGTGAAAAAAATCATTTTGCTTATCAAGATGTTAATAGAATGTGTCTCAGATATGTAGCTGAAACCTTTGTCCATGTGTGCTGTATAATGATCATGTACAACATATATATTAATTTGGTGCATATGTATTGAACCATCAAAGGAAATGATCAATCTCTCCACCTTTAGACCATGCCTGAGCTGAAGTTCTTTGGTAGAAATACGTAATCTGTGCCTGGTTATTAGATCAATGAAACATGGCCAAGAATTTAGTCAGTCACTATTTTTATATCCCAGGGCAAAATACCTCTTTGTTATTCCATATGCAGCAAAGCTCAACAGGCCTGCTAGATAGCCAGTGTTCTGTGGCCTGTCTGGGACTGAGCTGGAACAAGACATCTCACACAGAGAAAGGTGCTGTGTTATTAACTTCACTCCATCACAGCTGTCTTAAGATAGCTGGATATTGTACTGTGTTTTACTGTATATTCTACAATGGAGGTTCCACTTGAGTATAAGAAAGGCCCACCCTGATTGTAACCACAACAGATCACTTCATGATTGCACTTCTAAATTGTCAGCTTCAGTCAAGACCTGTAAACAAGACCAGGGGAGATAATGTCATCTGTTGAACTTTCAATCCAGATACATAGATAGAAGATAGGGGTGTTTGGAGCAATTAAGGAGAGACAGTAAAGGCCTTTTATTCCCCGAATAATGATCCTTCAGCAGCAGACTAACAGATGTCTTCCCCACCTTGTCTAAATATGTCACTGGGTGGTTTCCTGGCTTCCCTCAGTGCTTGCTATCTTTATTCCAGCAAAACATCTGAATTAATCCAGCTTTCCCTTTTTTCATCAAAGCTGGTTTTAGACGACTGTGGGATGTGATGCTTTTTTGGCACCGGATGTCAATGTGATTCTTCTGAGCCTGTCTCTCTGTCTGCCTCCAGCTTTGACAACATTATTCTGATGAGTACAACATGTATAATATTACAGTTCTCTTATCCTGGTGGCCTGCTGAACAGGGGGTGCCTGGTGCAGAGAAGATGCACGCCCAGTGATTATCTTATCAGTCTCCCTGCTGCTGACATTTAATAATAAATCCTCACAGGGCTTGTCCAAACAAACGGTGCGCGGATCACTCTTACCTCCTTTCCTGACAGAGTGCTGCAGAGCCCAGTTATCCCTTAGACACCCTGACTAGCAATTTGGAGTTCAGACTAAAGCAAACAGTTGTGTGCTAGTTTTGAGCCCATTGCTAAATATGGTGTGTCTTAAATAGCAGCCAGCTTCCTCGTTCAGTGTTTTCAAACAGGGTTTATTTTGACTGTGCTCCAGGCCATGTTTTCCTGTGTTGTTTTCAGCTTAAGTTCGCACAGGCAATTGAAACTTGGCATAATGTGCCTGATGGTCTTAAGAGCCATGCCCAGCCCTCAGCTCTTCCTCACTTTGTAGTTAGTGGTAAAGACTTAAGCCTGGGTTAAATAACAGGCTGGGTATGATTCAAAACCCTGCACTTGCCTTACTGTTGGGTACATGAAGACATTGCATCTGAACAGGCTTGCTGTTCTGCAACCCCTTCACCTCTTCAGTACAGGCTCATGGGCTGCATTCAAAAACCCTTTAGAAATGTCAACAATTTAAATGCAATGTGAAAAAATTAAAAGCATGGATCTGGCAGGGCTTATAAACTTCATCCATAAAAAGAAAAGGTTGAATTAGAAGAGCCCACTTGTGTTTATGATCACCTGCCCAGGTTTCTTTTACTCCTGGGGTGCGGATTTCAACAGGACTTGAGCATCTTCAATACAGCATGTATTTGCAAAGCATTTTTGAGTTGTCACTCAGTTTTTTTTTCCTGAATTAAAACATTTCTAATTGATGAGATCATCAGAGGTCCCTTTATGGGACAGCCTGTCGTAAGATGGCAAAATCAGAATAAGCAGTTTATTCCGCTGTTTTCCACAAACACCATTTCTGTGTGCTCTTGCGACAGAGGACAATGAAGTCGTTGAGCAACCGCAGCAGAAATGATGCCTCTGGGCTAGAACACGCTAAGCACGGAGACTGCATCCAGCAACTTTGTTTTCTATCCCACATAAATATGGATGTTTGTGGTCAGAGGTCCAAAGTGAAGAGTGGCTTATGTGCTTTTTTCCACATGTCACATTTCTAGCAGGACCACAACGATATCAATCACAGTCCAAGAGGGTGCTAAGAAGTGCTATAGTCTCACAGATTTTATTTGGCTGAACCACTGGGATTTGCTGTTATATTTCCTCTAGCTCCTCCAGACTGCCCTCTCTTAAGTTCAGGAACTGCTACAGCAACAGCTGGGTGGATCTTCAGGTGCTATAGTCTCACAGATTTTATTTGGCTGAACCACTGGGATTTGCTGTTATATTTCCTCTAGCTCCTCCAGACTGCCCTCTCTTAAGTTCAGGAACTGCTACAGCAACAGCTGGGTGGATCTCCAGGTGTACCTGTGTTGTAAAACTCTTGTATTGTACTGCTTACTATCAGTGTTATAATAATAATTTCTCACACTTATATAGTGCTTTTCTGGGCCCTCCACTCAAAGTGCTTAACAGGTGATGGAGAATCCCACTACCACCACCAGTGTGCAGCCCCACCTGGATGATGCAACGGCAGCCATAGTGCGCCAGTGTGCTCCCCACACACCAGCTATTAGTGGGGAGGAGAACAGTGATGAATCCAGTTCATAGATGGGGATTATTAGGCGGCCATGATTGGTAAAGGGCAGCAGCAATACTTTCACTGCTGGGCCTTCTGCTGGTAGAAGAAGCAGTCTTCTGTGGATGTGCGAGCAAGCGTTGAGAACAGAGCTGATCGCCTGAACTCAATGTCAGAGCACCGGTCTAGTGGTAAATCAAGCCTTCAGTGTTTTGTGGTTGTTAATCGGCTGCCTGAATGAAGGGCAGCCGGGCGGACAGACAAGAGGCCTGATCTTGTCCTCATGGGGTTGGCTGGAAGGTGAGCGCCCTTGAGAAAGCTACGGTTACCTGTAGCAACCGCCGGTACAGAGCTGCTCCCAGCCCAGGAGACGATTAGACTGTAAGCCGCACAGCCTAGCCTGTAGAAGGTGAGCAGGTCTTAGGTGCTTCCCTGTCTTCCAGCCTCCAGGACCGGGTGTGCGGGATGATGTCACAGTCTGCTTTCCCTGCAGGATGCACCTGAGCCGAGGAGGGACGGAGCCCAGCAGACGAGCTCTGCAGGCCTGGAGAAAGAGGCATCGGCACTCTCCAGTACCCCTGCTTCTCCCAAGGTCAGTGCTCCTGCTTCTCCAGGAGTTCAGGCCGTATCCACAGCAAGATTTGTCAACTTCGAAATCTAATCATTTATTACTTATTAATGATCAATTTATTTATTGGGTTGACACCATCGTCATGCTAGAACACAGGAAGTTCTGGAATGAAAACCTTTTGTTCTTGAAAACCTTTCCCATGATGTCAAGAAAGTGTTCTGTGAGACCTGCTATTCAACACTGAGAAACAGATCTCCGGTACGCCTGAGAAAAACAGTGGCTGGAGTTTGTTAGCGTGGGGCGTGAATATTTGGGCACTTTCAGGGCCTGTCAGTGCACTGGAAAACCAGAGCGTCTCACCTGAAAACGTTGAGTGCTCGGCGGCTTTTGAAATACACGTGGATGACATCCGCAGTGGAAGTGTGTTGAGGGAGTAGTGCCCAGAGCCTGGGGTAACAGCAGCCCTGTGCCTGATCTTGCTCCAGGGCACCCCTCTGGACCTCATTGACACTGGGAAGGGGCTGAAGGTGCAGACGGGGAGGCCTCACCTGGTGAGCCTGGGCAGCGGGCGTCTGAGCGTCGCCATCACACTGCTGCCCCTGGAGGAGGGTATGTAACCAGCTCTTACACTTGTGGTGTCCTCGGAGATCAGTTATTAAAATGCAATTACAGGCAATACATCACCAATGATTTTATTAAAATAGAGATTAGACCTAATCCATCTGCCAGAATAACATTTTTCGTGGGGAATTTGTCCTCAGCACAGTAGCTGTCTGTAGTGCACATCCTCCTCATTGCCATCTTTTTGCCTTTGAAGTTTCAAAATGTCAGCCCTGTTGAGATCGACGGATCAAAGGGTTTTTTTTTGCGGGATGCGCAATGATGAAGACGTTATTGTTTCAGGGATCACCCGGATTGGCCGGGAGGATGCCTCCACACCCCAGGATATCACGATCGAGGGCCCGGGAATTGCTGCAGAGCACTGTCGCATTGAGAACAGGCAGGGGGTGATCATGCTGGACCCCTGTGGGAACCTCTGTGCCCTGGACGGTGTGCCAGTGACCAGGCCCACACAGCTGACCCAAGGTACAGCCAATCGCACGCCTGCTCTGTTGTACACGGGGATCTGATCCACGTCAGCCTTCAGGTTTGACACGCTGCAGGTCTGCAGTGTAAAATTGTAACAGTTAGCCAGAGGAGAAACGTGCATCTGTTTTTAAAGAGCTGTTTCAGCTTTATTTCTTCGAAACGAGGTGAGCACCCTGAAATATCCGGCGCCTGATTCTGGTTTCTGTTCTTCGTACGTCAGCTCTTATCCCCGTCTTGCAGCACATTCGATCGTACACGCAGGGCTGGAAAGTTCACAGCCTGGACCTCAGGAAGTGTTTAGTCTGGGCGTTATTTGTGCACAGTAACTTCACTCCTGATAATTGCCTGGTTTGGAGGGAGAAGTGACCTTACTTTGCATAATTGCTTGGGTTGGAATGCGAACAATTTTCCCAGTAACTCAGGCCGTTCCCAGTGATTCACGGTTTCTAAATGAGTGGGAGAAGGCGGCGTTTATCTCGGCCTCCGCCGTGGCTGCCCTGATTATCAGTCCCCCAGGTAAATATTGAGGCCTTTGACAGCATCCTCATGAGCACACACTTGTTCTGTGTCTCAAAAACAACGCTCCCATAGAAACCTCCATCTGTCCTTTTTTGTTTAGATTAGTTGGCTGCTTTTCAGACATTGCTGTTTGGCGCAGCATGGGGGCGTCACAGTATTCCTAATGAATGTTGTAATAGCAGCCTCTTACAACTCCCACACTCGCCGAATGAATCCACCCAGCAGCCTCACGCTTGTGCTCAGCACTCTTGATACTCCGCTGGCATTTCATCTGCAGACGATGACGTTTAGTTAAAGGGGGCTCAGTCCAGTGGGACAGATTTATCACAGGCCTAACAGAAGATGGCGCAGAACCAAAATCACGGCCCGCTTCCAGAGCGCAGAGAGCACGCTAATTAACATCCAGGCCGCGTATGCTGTGTGGAAATAAAACATGGAAACTGGTGCTGAAGATTGTCCTGTAAAATCAGGTTCCATTGCAGAATGCCGTTTTAACGTTGTTAGTAAATCAATAAAAAGTTCCCCCAGGCAGCAATCTGGAGTTAATCAGCAGAAGTTCGGGAAGTGGGTTTTCCCCTGTTGCAGTGGGTGAACTGATGGCTGGACTATGACTCGAGCTGTTTGACAGCCTGCTGGGTAATGGATTACATCAAGTGCTTGCGTGGGTGTAGAGTTCTGTCAGTACTCTGAGCTCTGTGTTGCAGAATCAGGGGCAACACTGGGGTTTGGACTATGGCTGTGTACTGCACTGTCGTCAATAGAACACATTGTTTCAAAGTGATTGCCATGTAGTTTTGATTATGTAATTGCCAGCAGCTGGATCACCCTGCACCTCACAACTGGCCGCCTACTGAAGCTCAGCAGGCATGAGAATGGGAGACCTCCTGGGAAAGCTTAGGCTGCTGCTGGAAGTGGTGTTAGTGGGACCAGTAGGAGGAGCTCACCCTGTGATGTAAGTGGGTCCTAATTCCCCAGTATAGTGGCAGGGGACACAATGCTGTAAAACAGGCGCCGTCCTTCGGATGAGGCGTAAAACTGAGGTCCTGACTCTCTGTGGTCAGTAAGAAAAAGTCCCAGGGCGTTTCTTATAAAGAGTAGGGGGGTTACCCCGGCTTCCTAGATCAACTGTTCTCCCAGACCTTCACCAGTCATGGCCTCCTAGTAATCCCCATCCATGAACTGGCTTCATCACTTTGTTCTCCTCCCTAATGGGAGCTGGTGTGTGCTGAGCACTTTGACTGCTGTCACCACATCCAACATCATCCAGGTGGGGCTGCACACTGGTGCAGGTGGAGGGGATCCTATTACCTGTAAAGTGCTTTGAGTGGAGTGTCCAGAAAAGCACAATACAAGTGTTAGGATTATTATTATTATTATTATTATTATTATTATTATTATTATTATTATTATTATTTCTGTATAACAGCCCATGTAAGAGAGGCTTCTCAGACTGGTGGGGCTCAGGCTGAGCGGCTCATTTCACTGGTGGTGCAAGGACTGTTGTGGGAGCCAAATTCCCAGCATTGAAAAGCTAACAGGCTTGTTGACTGTCACACTGCCAGTCCACAACACAGACAAGAGGGAAAACACAATAAAATGTAACAAGAAATAGGCACTGGTGTTTATGGGGTTTGTTTTTTTTCCTCTCCCGTTGCCAGTCCTTGGTGAAGCTGTTTGTGATTAAAACAGAGAGGCAGTGGTCACTGACCTCAAGACAACTTGTAGCGCCTCCTGGATTCTTGTCCAAACGTGCACAGTTTGGACCGCTTGGAAGACACTAACGGATATTCACAACAGTGCCGAAAACCATAAAACAGATCAGCACAACACATCTTTAATTCGTTTTTGAGAGGACGTCTGTAGAGACTTTCAGTTTTCTCTCAGTTCTGATTTGGGATCTCCTCGAAATATTTGGAGATGTCAGTAGAAAGTAAGAAACTTGAAATAGGGGTTTTTCCCCCTCGTCTCTCTCGGAGAGCGGTGCCACATGTATTTTCTGTTGAACATTAACTCCTCGTTAATGAATAAGGAAGCCCGTTTAATCGACAGCAACCGGTTCACTCGCTTACTGACAATTCTAGAAGAGTTGTGGGATACCTTTGGATTATTTTTTCCCCCAGTTTTCTCTTATTGTTTAAGTTAGAGAAATATTAATAAATGAAAACAATACAGGTATAATCAAACTACAGGAAAAAATATTTCTAACAGCATATGAAATAAAATGCCCTTTATAATGCTGTTAATTCTACATATCAAACTTGTAAATAAGTAGCGCTTCGAACTGTATCTTTAAGAAATAAGAATAACGGGGGGAAATGAATTACTTTTCCCTGACTTTAAAAAGCTGTAAGAACGTACCAAGATAAAACGGGGGGAAGAAATATGGGCGTCTGCTTGGGAAAAAAAAACGTTTTTTTTTTTGCCTCGGCGCATGTAAGCGGCTTTTGAACCTTCGTGGAGCCGAGACAGAGCGGTTGGCACTGCGGCTCATTGTGCGGAGCGCGGCGCTGGTCCGAGTTTCACCCCGAAGTTAAAAGGAGAACAGTCTCCCCCACCCCTCACGAGGAGTTAGGGCGCTCCTGGCGCAGAAGCGGTCTCGCTCCAAACTTGCGGACCCGCGGACCCGCTCGGAGGGGAGGCGGTGGGTCTCTTTGACGAGCAGCGAGCTCTTTGTCATGCAAATCCCCGGAGCGTGTTCCTCTGTCGGGCTTTCTGAATGGAACATAGTGAAAAGGTCAGTCCTCGGCGCTGGAAAACAATCGCGGGGCCAGTTCAGTAACTTCACGATGTATCGACGACTCTTTGTAGCGACAGGGTGATGCTAGCTAGCCTCCTCACGGCTAAGGAAAAGGCCCGGGTAGCTCAGACTCCGTTATTATTTTATGGCTACCCCCCCCTGTGCGTTTTACTTTTTTAAAACTCGATAACTTTTTTAGACAGGCGTGAATAAAGGAAATCGGGGTGGGGTAGCAGCAGAACCATGCATAGAATTGTTTTCAAGTCTTGGGGGGGGGGAGTTTTTAGGTAGAACTCCTAACAGCTTGAATTGATTAAAAGTGATAACGTCCTTCCAATAAATGCATTGTGTGTTAGTTTTTGTTGTTTGTTGTTGTCGTTGTCGTCCTGGGGGTCGGAAAGTGACGTGCGTGTCTGCGGGGGTCGTGTGGTGTGGCGAGAGGTTCGGACGGGACCGGCTCGCCGGGGCGGACCAGGTTGGTGTAAACAAAGCGAGAGGCAGGGAGGGAGACATCTCCCTGAGCCGAAGCGACCTGCGCGCTGTCTTCACATGCTCGGTGTGTTGGTAGCGAAGTGTCGACCATCTCTTGAGTTCAAATCTAAATGCAATGAAGAATTGCGTAGGAAAGAAGGTGCACACGTCAAGGGGCTGAACATGCGCTAGGCATTTAATTCTTTGCGGTATGGAGTGTTTTTTCCCTGGATTTAGTTGCCTTGCCGAAGGGGGGGTTGACACTGTTGAGCTAACAGTGGATGGATTAATGTTTTATCAGTTAGCAGTAGCTCGGGGGAGGGTCTTTCACCCTCAAGGTGATGTTGCGTCTTTGCCGATATGTTGTTTGGGTGCCCCACACCTGAACTGTGACCACAGCGACTCGTTGACGGTCACGGGACTCGCCCACCTGGGAAGAGAGCCTAATCACGCTGCTTCAGAAGAAAAAAAAAAGAGGGAGGGTGAAAGCAAAGAAAACCCCAACAAAATGTCCAGGAATCCCCTCGCTTTGCGCTGTTGCCGCCCTTACAGGTTTCCCTTACGCGCCGTGGCGGCTGTCGAGGGCTGATGCGTTTTGTTAACTCTGTACCTCGCGAAAACAAAGCAGCTCAGTCCCGGTGGACGGGAATAATGAACGAACGATCCAGGATGACCACAAGCCGTGTTTTCGCAGAAGAGGGTCAAGATCCATTCTTCCCTCGTCAGCCCTGGCGCTCAGTGGTGAACAGGGCGGCGGGTCTCGGCGACGTGTTTGTTCAGCCGCGCTGAAGGTACAGCATCCCTGCGCTCGGCTCTGTCTCGTCTGTAGAGAAAACCTGCCCCCCCCCGGAATAGCACGTCTCCTCAAAAAGCACCCAGTCAGAGTGAAACAGGCTTACATATGGTCTCCTCTTTGAAGAAGAAGTAGTCTCGTTTTTCTTCTTCTTCTGTAGATCTGTTTTAGTTTAACGGTTCAGCCTCATGTGTAGTAGACTAAACACCTCCTTTTATTTGTAAAAAACGGAGACCGAGCCTTTGCAGAAAGGAATTTTAAACTGACCTCGCTCCTGTTGTGCACTGGAGAAGTACTCAGGTATTCCGATAGCTTTGCCATGGAGGCTATAAAGCCCGTAGGTGGAACATCTCATTTCACTTTGCTCATTTAGTTTTCTGGTGCTTGGGAGTGTCTTGAGCTCATTTTGGTGGAGGCTAGAAGGGTTTTTATTTTGCCGTCGGTATTTAAAAAATTAAATCAGATCTGCTGGTAGTTAAAATCCTTCTGCTGAATAAAACTGTTGAAAGATTTTGAATGCGGTGTGGCGTAGTGTCGTTTATGGGTTTTTGCGAGGGCTCACTGGGTGCAGTGTGTTGTTGCAGAAGTTTGCACAACCAGGCCGGGAAGTCAGACCGAGCAGTGAGTGTGTGTGTGTCTCTCGGTGGTGAATACCGTTTCTCTTCAAAGGAGGAAATTAGAAGTTGCTTAGTTTGGGATATTCCCGCCGCAAAAAACAAACATCATTCACCGGTCATTGCGGTGTGGGGCTGTTCGCTCTGCTTCCTGCCAGGGAGCGTGTTGTGTTCACAGAGAGGGTGTGCGTTTGGGAATCCGATACGGGAAACGGCAGATTAACACATCCAGGAGGAGCCTAGTCCAGTTCCTCTGGAATGTCGCTTCACAGGATGACCAGCAAGCCAGACGGCCCTTGTTGCTGAAATGCGGGACCGTTCTGGGAGCGTCTGTGTGGCGCGCTGACCCCCGAGAGAGGGTGTTCCTAACCTCTCCTGGTTGACACCGGACTCACGGCTCCGAACCGCCGGGCATGACTGGCCCATATTCCTCACTCCCTCTTCACCGGAGCTCTCCGTCCCTTCCTCCCTGGCACTGTCGGGCCATTAAAATGCGGGAACGTTCTTCATCGGATGAAGTGAGGATGGGGTGATCCCGACTGACTGTGCTGCTCCAGACGGGACGGGTGAATGAAGAGGAACTAGAGAGAGGCAGGGCAAGCTCCATACAGGAGCACCAGCCCAGAATCGTTCCCAGGACTCAAGAGCTATGAAGGAGCACAAAGGGTAGTCACCGCCCCAGGGTGCTCTCTCTGTCCCTCTGCTGAACAAATCACATAGTTGTAGCTCCAGTTTTGGGCAAGGTGCTGCAGCAGTCAGGGTTGTGCTGTAAGGAGAGGAATAAAAGTCCTATTTACATGGCAGTTTAATAGTTGACAGGCTGTGGGCTGCCACATATGGCCGTACAAGATGTCAGCTGTTTCGAGAACGGGTTCTCTGATTCTGTAGTATACTGTGTACAGCTTATACAATCCTAAATGGAGTCAGACTGCTGGGCAATGGGAGTCAGACGTCTACCCTTGTACAGAGTAAAAATAATACCCAGGAACAATGAGAAAGGGGGAAGGAACCTTAAAACGTTAAGAGGAATAATAAAAGTCATTATCTTTATTTACACTGTGTAGCCCTTCAGTATAGTTTTTTTTTTTCCAGTTTGGCCCCTAATGAAATCCATCCAGCAGTCAACAGAACAGACGTTACCCAGACGAGAATGAGCAGCTTTTTGTGTGTGTTACCTCATCCTGCGGAGCGTAATGTAGCACAGCCTCTACAATCGGAGGATGTTTGTTCAGCTTTGAGACCCAGATCCCTTTCTGGTAGCCTGAGTTGGAGTTCCCGGCGGCTTGGTCTTCCGTCTTCGTTTAGCCGAGCTCCAAAAGGACAGCCGTCAGGCGGCTGATCTTGTTCACTTCCATTGGGCACCGACTTCTGTTGGGAGTTTGCGTGATCTTCCCGTGTTTGCATGGGTTTGTGCTCCGTGCTCCCGTTTCTCTTCCACGGCACGGCGGGTGTGCTGGTTTGGTTGGCTGCTGTGAAATGTCTGTGGAGGGCCCGTATCCTGTCCTGTATGCCTCGAGGCAGGCCCTGCACGCGGTGCTCCTGCCCTCTTCCGGATGATCGTCCTTCTGATAACGGATGAAGTCATGACCTCTGGAATAAAAAAGAAAAAAAACACTTCCAACGTCGGGAAAGGGAATCTGTTCTCCCGAGGAACTTCCTCACGCCTCTTCCTTGCCTCGCGGTGTAGCCGTTGGCCTGGCCTGTGCAGAGCTCCTCCGGCCAGCGCGCTGTGCGGACGCGCCTTGCGGGGCAGGCCGGGGAGACCCCGCGGTGATCCGGGGAGAGGTGTGGAAGCTGTCTGGGCCTGAGCGGGGCTGAGGCTGAGGGTGTTTCCTCCGGCGGGGAGAGGAGTGCGTGCTGCAGCAGGGGAAACGCTCCCACGCCTCCGTGGGGCTGCAGGATGAGATAAAGCAGCAGGCGAGGTGACCGACAACAATGGGCCGGCGTTGGGGG